GAAAGTCATATACACCTAGGATGACTTGAGGGTGAGTAATTTATGGGCTAATTTTCATTTTTTGGTGAACTAACCCTTTAAGAGTGTTACATAGGCTTTAGATGGTTATTATTTTTTCTTTTATATAAATGAAGAGTTCAGATGCAAAAGCCTCTAAGTGCCATCTGAAATTTTCTTCTAAAATTAGTATTTTTCTCAGGTTCTTATGTGTAGGTTCAGTAATTTCACTTTAATGGCAATGAACAGGTTATTTTTATTGCCGTTAAAGTGAAATAACTGAACATAAATAGGAGTCTGAGAAAAAGGCTCATTTTCATCAAGTTTCATGTGCGTTGATCGTGATAGTATCCTTGCTGTCAATGCAGGATCAGAGAGCTCTCAAAATTTCATCAAAAATATCTTAATCTGTGTTCCGAAGATGAACGAAGGTCTTACGGGTTTGGAACGACATGAGGGTGAGTAATTAATGACAGAATTTTCATTTTTGGGTGAACTAAACCTTTAAAGCATTTTTAAAAAACTGGAGAATTTTAATATTTTCAGAAATAACATAACATTTTCATAACGTAATGGGAACATTAGCAAACATAATAGAACATATTTTTGTTAGTTGTGTATAAGAATCAGTTTGGGATGCTGATATAAAACAAATGTATTGTAACTAATTATGACATTTTTATAAATATATATAGGCTTAAACACCTTTGCATCCTGTTAATAATCTTCAACTAAAAGTATGCAGAAATACTGACAGAAATAAGATGCATTAGCCATTTAATTATTTGCATGGCACTAGTGATTTCAAGATCATTTTATACTTAAACTGCACACAGAAAGAATCTTGACGGTAGTGAGAAAGTAATGAAAGTGCATGGCTGCATCTGTCCTTCACCTTTTGAGTCATTCTCTTCTCACCATTCACTGGAGAGCACTAATGTTCCTACATGGCCTTTTATTTCAACTCTAATGAGCTGCATGTGCCTCCCTGCTGTTTCACTATCGTGAGGGACCGACAAAAAAGCACTTGCACAATTTAGAAAGGAAAAAGAGGGGGAAAAAACGTTCCCCTGGGTACAGCAGGCCTTGTAAATTACAGGCACAGATTCCTGCAAGTTGTAGTGGGGTTAACTTGTAAATTTCATGCCAGTCTTAATCCTTAATTTAGTCATAATCAAACCCAGAGTGACATGAAACATTGTTTAGGGCACAAACATTGTTCAACACTACTGTTCTTCTCGTTTTCTTTAGATAGCTTAATGAAATCACTTCTGATCACATTTTATTGCTGTATTGTATTTGATCATAGTGTTTGCTTCAAAGTCAGCTTTTGAACCAGTGGAAATGCAACATAAAAAGAATCACTATCAAGTTGGTAAATCTAACCTGCTATTTAGAAAATGTTTATTTTGAGGAACTAATTTAGTCTACAGCTTATTGTTCTTGCTTTGATCATTAGTCAAGTACAGAAACAATCTGCTTATTTAAAACAAACAAACAAACAAACAAACAAACTTAAAAACAAGCATGTATTCCAATGACTGCATAGTTTTGTCATGTTTTGATGTTATATTTTTGTGTAAACTGTTACCTGTCTAAAAATAAAATCTTATTTTGTTTCTACATTTCACAGTAGCAAGTAAGACGTTTTATATGGCATGACTCTTTATAACCCATATTTTGTGGCCAAAATATATTTTAAATGTATTCTAAATATATGTTATAAACAGCGAAGCTCAATTAAATATATTTTTGAAATAGAAAATATATTTAATGTCAACCTTCATATACCAAAACATATTTTAAAATGTATTTCAGGGGCAAGAAAATACATTTCCAGTCTTACAGTAGCCTACATTTAGGCTAAATGCAATAGCCTAGAGATAATAATAATAATAATAATAGTTACTATTAGTTACTATATATATATATATATATATGCTGTATTTTATTCAAATGTGTTATATGATCACGCATGTTATAGACAACAAATATCGTTTTTCTTTACATTTGATATGTGACTATTTTCTTGGGTTGAAATATATTGAGCAAAATATATTTTCAAATGCTTTTCAAAAATATAAAAAAAAAATGGCTGAAACATATTTTGGTAGAAAATATATTTATGTAAATATATTGTATTGCTGTATTGTATTTGATCATAGTGTTTGCTTCAAAGTCAGCTTTTGAACCAGTGGAAATGCAACATAAAAAGAATCACTATCAAGTTGGTAAATCTAACCTGCTATTTAGAAAATGTTTATTTTGAGGAACTAATTTAGTCTACAGCTTATTGTTCTTGCTTTGATCATTAGTCAAGTACAGAAACAATCTGCTTATTTAAAACAAACAAACAAACAAACAAACAAACTTAAAAACAAGCATGTATTCCAATGACTGCATAGTTTTGTCATGTTTTGATGTTATATTTTTGTGTAAACTGTTACCTGTCTAAAAATAAAATCTTATTTTGTTTCTACATTTCACAGTAGCAAGTAAGACGTTTTATATGGCATGACTCTTTATAACCCATATTTTGTGGCCAAAATATATTTTAAATGTATTCTAAATATATGTTATAAACAGCGAAGCTCAATTAAATATATTTTTGAAATAGAAAATATATTTAATGTCAACCTTCATATACCAAAACATATTTTAAAATGTATTTCAGGGGCAAGAAAATACATTTCCAGTCTTACAGTAGCCTACATTTAGGCTAAATGCAATAGCCTAGAGATAATAATAATAATAATAATAGTTACTATTAGTTACTATATATATATATATATATATGCTGTATTTTATTCAAATGTGTTATATGATCACGCATGTTATAGACAACAAATATCGTTTTTCTTTACATTTGATATGTGACTATTTTCTTGGGTTGAAATATATTGAGCAAAATATATTTTCAAATGCTTTTCAAAAATATAAAAAAAAAATGGCTGAAACATATTTTGGTAGAAAATATATTTATGTAAATATATTGTAATTTTTTGGTATATTCTGAAATATATTTAAAAATAAATATACCAACAAAAAAAAAACAATATATTTACATAAATATATTTTCTACCAAAATATGTTTCAGCCATTTTTTTTTTTTTTTTTGAAAAGCATATATATAAAGTGCAAACAATACAATTGCGCTATTACTTTTCTGTACTAGTGTCATGTAAATGCAGTAACCAAGAATAAACACTAGATAGCACTAAAAACTCAACTTTTAGCGTGCGGTCTGGCGGACTGTTCATTTGCAGTGTTTTGTTTCACATAACACATCCGTTTTGTCACCTTGCTCGGAGACAATCATCACAAATAACTTTTTTCTCCATTACGTACATTCTACGACAACAGTGAGTCAAGGTACAAAGCAACTTTCAGTTTAATTCAAAAACTGCACCGCAATTCGTGTGAATTACAGCAGCGGAAATCTATGTTCCATACGTACACACAAGACGCTAATTATGGGTATTACGGTCTTAAAAGAACATGTTCTTTTTTAAATAGAACTGTATTTTATCATAGTTGGCGTTTTAAATATTTCAGTGACCACAAACGTATGGCTGCGCGTTTTAACGAGGTAACTTAAATACACGCTGGTGAACAGAATTGGCGTTCACGTTGGACCGAAGTATCACTAGAACATTTCTAATATACATTCTTTATAATTCCCAAACTGCTGATTTAGACTTCAAACGTTAAAAAGCACCGCCGATTGAAAGATTTGAATGGCCGTCTTTTATTGTGGAAGTAAGTTAGTGCTAAACACAGTTCAAGACAAAACTGTGCCTGTGATCAATGATGTACTTAACAGATGAATCACAGTCTTCAATCCGAAGAACATCCTGAGAGAGAGAGAGAGAGAGTTCAGCATGGCCACACACAGGACATCTCAGACATTTGCTCCACCCAAAGAGGATATGCATGTGGAGCCTGTAGAGGGGCTGAAACTATCCAACCTAAATCACTAGTGATGGGAAGTTCGGTTCTTTTCCGCGAACCGGTTCTTTCGGACAGTTCGGTCAATAAACCGGTTGAAAAAACAGGTTCACCGGTTCTTTTACGCTCGACGTAATGACGTCATTGGCGATGACGTAATGGCGTCAAGTCTATCGCGGGCTTAACACATTCAAATATAAAGTCAGTAATCATAACATCAGTCAATTAAAACATCATTATAATCTGATACGTTTCTTACAATTTGGATTTTTGTATCTAAAGCATCAACACATATACAGGCAGTGATCTGCAAACTAGGATGTTTTACAGTTATGACGTCAATAAATTAGTCTTCATCAGCGCAGAAACTATGCTCCACTTACTATGTATAATCCATTACGGTTTATTTGTAATTAAGTAAACTTACGTTTCGCCGGATTGGCCCATTATCCTCGTTTCACCCGCGCTCACGATGGCATCAGTTGTCCGGTTCAGAGTTCAGACACCTGTGGCGGGCGGTGCTGCTGTGCTGTGACAGTCATTACTGTTCGGTTCGGTAGTTCAGATCACACACGCTGTCGCTGAATCACGCATGCGCAGTATCATCAGCTCACCGGTTCTCAAATCGGACGTGTCCGAAAGAAACGGTTTTCGGTTCAGTGTACTGGTGATCCGAAAACCGATGCAACCGGTTCTTGACTCGAGAACGAGAACCGCTCCAGCAGTGGGTGTGTACGTTCGTTATACGGCTCCCTGCACACATGCTGCTTTGCTCGTGTTCATCTTCAGTTCTCTCTTCACAGCAGTTCAGTCAGTGTACTGTTTGAGTAAATGAATTACTCCGGGATATTGGTTTATTTCGACTCGGAGGGAGTGTCAGCCACGTTAAAAAAGTAAATAACTTAAGTAAATTGTGGATTAATGCTACCTGGAGACGCGAACCGTTTCAAACGATTCAGTCCGATTTGGTGAACTGGTTCAACCGGTTCACTAAAAAGAACCGGTTAAATTGAACGATTCGTTCGCGAACCGGTCATCACTATGAATCACAACTTTTTTCCTGTCCGGGGGTAAAGTCCTGTGCGTGTGTATGAAATCACATGGCATTTTAAGAATGCTTCAAAGATGGCGGTTTGTGGTAACAGAGTGCAGAAAAGTGCATGTTTGGAGGTGCTAGTACGAGAGCGATGGCACGCGGTCCTGGCGAGTTTAAGCGACGCGTCGTTGACGCTCAGCTGCGAGGAGCCCGCGACCGACGCCAGCGTTAACCTGAACGGCATCACCACCAACGGCGCCTACAGTGACCAGCCGGACCCCACCAACAGTCCCAAAGCCGGAGTAAGGACTCCTTTCACGGATTCACAAGTTCCCGAAGCGATTGCGAACCGCAAAAGATGTGTCAAAGTTATCAAGCAGGAGGTCGGTGGATTAGGGATAAGCATCAAAGGCGGGAAGGAGAACAAGATGCCTATTCTTATTAGTAAAATATTCAAAGGTCTGGCTGCGGACCAGACTCAAGCGCTCTACGTGGGGGACGCGATACTGTCCGTGAACGCGATCAATCTGCGGGACGCCACGCACGACGAGGCGGTGCAGGTGCTGAAGAAAGCGGGCAGAGAGGTTATGCTGGAAGGTAAGGACGGGAGAAAGGCTAGAAAACTGTCAGTGGGGTTGTTGAGTTTTGAGTCAGGTGTGAATGGACCTGTTGGTGAGAAGAACTGAAGCATAAACAGCATTCGCAAGGTAGATAAGGCTTACTTTATGCTAAAAACACCTTTGGCCAGTCTAAGCTGGTATGCTGTGCACACTACCTCTATAAAACCAGCAAGTTGCCCAGCTAAATACCATCTTGGAAACCAGCATAAACCAGGTTAGACCAGCAAACCAGGCTGGTTTAAGTTGTGTTCATGAAGGTACTGCAGACAGGTCCTTCACTTACACCTGCGGAAGGTCATTGCCAGAGTGATGGACGTGTTTGCTGTGCCCTCCGGTGTTGTGCATTAAGGATGAAAGCACCCTTGAGAGTGATAAAGCTATGAGATTCCCTCTCACTGCATCATAAAAGCATACCTCAGATTTCAGAGGGACGTTCATAACTTTGCCACTCTCCAGGATGTTTTCATTCCGCTTAGTCATGTTGAAGGTTTTCACAATACAGCTGAAGATTTTAGGAAATGTGGTTAGACACACAATGCATTATAATTGCACTGCAACAGCAGCTAGAAATAAAATACCTGCCACGCAAAATATACAAATAGTGTACCATTTAAAAATATGGGCAAAATATGCAAACTTATTTAATTTATGCAAATTAAGAGCTAAGGCCATAGCACACTGTATTGAGCATTTATCAGTGTTTATGCTTCAAAAAGGTGTTTATTGAGATCAGAATGTGGGAGAGTTTTTAGTAAGTGCAGCAAATCAGGCAAATGTTTTGTCTTTATTCAGTCAAAGATACTAAGAATGTATCCTGTTGTAATCCGTATTTCCGTGTTCTGTACATCCTAAAATCCCAGTCACACAGTATATGCAAAAGCTCTTTCACTATCAGTCCTACTGCTCTGTTGCATTAGCTATTCTCTGCTGTGAGAGACTTTAACCCCATACCACTGTATAATTTTAATGATATTTAAGGTAGGGGTCGACCGATATGTGTTTTTCAAGGCCGATGCCGATACCGATTATTACAGATCAAGTAGACTGATAACCGATATTTTGAACCGATATATATGTCTGGTGTAAAAATGAAAATTAATGTCAAAATTAAGAATAACAAGTCTGACAGTACAGCAGAGCTGCCGATTTGAGGGCGGATCCGACCCGGAGTCTGTTGCTATCAGGGAAGTGACTGTCTTTATGAATGGGTAATCATGACTCACTGACTCACTAGATTCGTTCAAAAACGCACTTTCACAACTGACGCGTGATCACTGAAGCAGCTGCAGTTAGCAAGCAGTGATTGTGAATTCCGCATTGATTGGTCGGACTCATGACTCCCAACAAATCAGATGGGCGGTGGGCGGAGACTGCTTTAGGCCACAGAGTGCTGAGTTCTGACAGGCTGCATCAGAGCCAAATAGCGCGTTTCAAAATTAAGTTGTTTTATCGGCGAATCGGTTTTGAAAATGACCGATACCGATAATCATAAAAATGCTTAATATCGGCGCCGATAATCGGTCGACCCCTAATTTAAGGGTTTTCCTGTACACTGACCTGAGGGTCAGATTAGTCTCCTTCTGTAAATAATTTAAACAGGGCATTGGAGCTCAGTGTTTTGATTTCTGCATCTGACCTGTTGAAACACCATAAAAGTTTGTCGGTTATGACTCTATCAGCTTACTTTGGAAACTGAACACTTAAATTTCAGCTTCAGGATTGAATTGCCTTCAGAGGTCGTATCAGCCTGTGCTTCAGTCGCTGATGGGCTGATGGTGGTATCCGTTAGGAGAAAAGAATATTGGAAATTCTGTCTCTCCCTCACATCGTTCCAGTATTGTATGACTTTCTTTCCTCTATGGAACACAAAAGAAGTTTAGCACACTGCGTTGCCCATTTGGACACTGCTTTTTCCAACCCAATCTCATGGAAGAAAAATTAAACTTTTTTACAAATGGGCAATTTCACACCAATTTGTATGACATTTTATGGTTTTTAGAAAAGAAACTAAAAATGATGGTCCACCACTAAACACAAACCTCAGATCGTATGAAAATGTATGAGATGGTACAAATTCATAAAAAATTGCCTCCATTAACCAAAAGATAAAATTGCTGTTAACTTTTAGCCATGGAGCGATAGTGAACGATGACCAGATGTCAAATATGGCACATAAAGTTTGTCATCAAGTTGCTGGCCAGGTTTGATGTTAATGTGTCTCATAAACAATCATAGTTTGTTTCATATTTAAGTATACATAATCAAATTGCATAAATGTGATTTGAGAGCTATGCCGAATATCAGAATTTCCAGTGAATAACTTACATTTTGGCCTGTTCAACACACAAATCTATCATATGACTCCAAAGACATGTAATGTAGCGCTCTAGTAATATGGAGGGCTTTTATGATTCAATTTTGGAGCTTGACAACCTAGTCACCATTCACTTTCACTGTACAGAAATGAAGAAAAGTACATAAAAAAAAAACAGAAAAGGAAATTATGACTGAATTCTAATTTTTGGGTGAACTATTGCTTTAAATCCTTTACATGTCTGACTTATTTTTAAAAATCAAAAACAAGCTCGATACTTTTGACTTATTTTTGTTTTAATCCTTTTTTAACAGGCTTCATACAAGCATTAATTTGATTCCTATGGAGCACTCATGTTATCATCAGCACACTTTGAAAAACTGATGAAACATTTCACTAGTTAGACTCATCATTGCAAATCTTCAAACAGAAATTCTGATTTAAAAGAAAAAAAAATCCAACTAGTGTTAACATAAAGGTCAATTAAGTTTATAGTTTAGACCAATTTCAGTGAACACAGCATCCAATATATCAATCAACTGTTGTCCATTAGACTCACTATTTTGCTCAAGCAAGTGGATTTTGCATGTCAAATCAAGGCCCTTGATTCCTTTCTCCTGTCCTTGGGATTTGGCTTCGAATAATTCACTTTGACATTTCTTGCCAGAAATATTTGCACATCCTTTTACTCCCACAGATGTACTACACCCAGCTTGTATTTTACCCTGTCACCACTCTATCAATCAACACAATCTTCTTTTAACAGACTCCCTGATGCCTTTCCATACTCTGTCTATATCCTTGAGAAACACATTTGTCCTGGGGGACACGTCAGTGTCTTTGGTAAAATTACAGAGCCAGTCACATTGAAGTCAAGGTCTCTGGATGATATTAAAGAAAAATAAGAGCAGTCTCAAGCGATTTGACAGGTTGATAGCTACCTGTCTATGTGTGCGCCAGAAAAGTTAAATTCTCGATTTAAGTAAAGGACTCTTTTGTCTTTTTTGCAGCACCACTTCATGCCTCAAATTAGCAATTTACCAATCGAAGTCCAAAAAGGGCTTTATTCTTCCTCTTTGAACAAAGAATCCCATTCTTAAAAACTCAGGCAGTTTGTAATGAGGCTGACGAGATAAACACAGCACACAAAAAGCTGCTTGTGTGTATGCCTGATGTTTTATTAAGATAAATTAAATGTGTGTTCAGGCGCTGAGCGTTCAACAACACACTATTGTACTGAAAATAATTGCATATGAAATTAATAGTACTGTAGACCAGGGATGTTTTGAAGAAAAAAATGGATTTGAGTGCCTGCATTCATAGATATGCTTTAAACTAGAATCACTGCTCTCTAAAAACACCCAATTACTGTGGTAAGTGAAGACCCGTCGTAGAAGCCTAGACAAAGAAATGGGGATAATGAAATGCTCTGGAAGTCGAAGCACATTCTCAATGTTACTAGTGTGAAGCATGACAGCATGACTCTGCAAACAGTTTTAGTTATCTTACCTAAGACAGATGCATGAGCCAAAGGCACGAATAAATCATTCCTGGAATGTGGCACCTTATGCGTTCTGTTCTTTCTCATTCGCTCATGTACTCAGTATTGTAAATAAATGATAAAGTGGGAGAGAATGAGATGGGGATTGGAATGAGGGCTGGTCTGTTAAAGAGTGAGGGGACCGTGTAGTAAAGACCACTCTCACAAGTCACATGACCTCATTTTTAAAGCATGCACTAGATACAGGGAGCAGGGACAACACATTTGCACTACATGCAAGATCAGGGCCCGTATGTATAAAACTTCTCAGAAATGCTTTTAAGAATAGTCTTAAGCTTTGACTTAAGTGTCAAAAAATTCTTAGTAAAAAGTAGGACTTTTCTAAGAGTAGAAGAAGCTAAAAGCAACTTTCAGTAAAGTCTAAGACTGATTCTTAAGTGTTGACTGAGGTGACACTTAAGTGTTGTGAACTAAGGACTACAATGATGTCAACACAAAATGGCCGACCTCGACCTCTGAATCAGCCAATAGTGAGCCTGCTCATGTAAAGTCACTGCAGCACAACAACAATCATTTAATGTAACTACAGCAAAATAATTTAATTAAGACACTGAAATATAAAAAAAAAAATGTTTTTTTTTAAAAATGCTTTGCATTGTGCAAAATTATCACAAATTATTACTGATGCTTCGTTTTCTATTGGAGTTGAAGCTATTATGTGAACATGAGTTCCATCAGTGGCTCCAACAACTCCAGGAAGGCCACAATCCTCATAAAAGTGGCTTGTTTATGAAATTCGACATGTTCCCCCTTAATTAAAAAAAAAAAAAAAATGTGCAAGATTTTGTAAGCATATTGCATAGTTTGCTTAGAGTCAGTTGTTTTATTTGTGATAATAATGCAATGAAACATGCCAAATTGTGCGGTCATCATTTTTGGCCATGCTGTCATCAAAGAAATTATGAACACATGCAAAAACAAGAGGACCAATGAAATATTAATAACTTATGTTGTAGTCAATGTGCCAATGTTGCCAACTTAGTGATTTTGTCACTAGATTTAGTGAATTCCTCACTCCTTTAGAGATTTTTTTTCAAAAGCCTAGCAACAAAATCTATTTCTTGGACAAAGCTTATCTACATTCCGAGACTCTCCCATGACG